ATACAGGCGGCCAAAAAAAACTTTCTCCGCAAGGTGGCTAGGCGCTTCCACATCGAGAGGAGCCAGCTGAGGTGGCTCGGGCATCTGTTCCGGATGCCTCCTGGACGCCTTCCCGGGGAGGTGTTCCGGGCGCGTCCCACCGGGAGGAGACCCCAGGGAAGACCTAGGACACGCTGGAGGGATTATGTCTCCCGGCTGGTCTGGGAACGCCTCGGTATCCCCCCAGAAGAGCTGGAGGAAGTGTCTAGGGAGAGGGAAGTCTGGGTGTCTCTACTTAGACTGCTGCCCCTGCAACCCGGCCCCGGATAAGCGGAAGAAGATGGTATGGTATGGTATAATCAAATAATATAAAATTAAGTTGTAAAAGTTCAATAGTTAGCCTATATTTATAAATAGGCCTATTATATATTTATATTTGTATAATTTTTATGTAATAATAAAAATAATAATAATAATAATAATACATTTTATTTGTAATGCGCTTTTCTTAAACCCAAAGCGCTAAATCTCAAGCGCTATGTAAAGCGCTATGTAAATCTCTCAATACACATTGCTGAATCATTTTATTATAACGTAAACAGGACATTCACCTCAGATTTGTTTAATGATTTTATCCACCTTATTTCTCACGTCAGAGTGGGCGTGGCCATTTGTAAATTGAACGTGTCTGGCTTCCGGTGTCATTGGCTTTCAGTTATTCTTAGCTGTAACAGAGCCCGTCTAATGGAGAGCCTTGGCACTTCCTATTAGCCCCATTGTGTATCATATTGGTTGCAGTTCCATTAGAATTCCACTGGAGGTGATCGCGGGCGAGTGCAGAATGAATGGGAGTCTATGGCAATAGTATCCAGCTGCAGACCCGCAGCACCACCACTTTCAGAACCCCAGCGCCAGAACCGGAAGTAATGGGCGGAGCTTACGTTCTAACACCAGCGCCAGGACCGGAAGTGAGGGGCCGAGCTTACGTTCTAAACCGAGTAACGACACCTAACGTTTTGGAGCGTAGTTTGCTTAGACACGAAACGGAATTATTACACACGAAACGTCATACTTTATACATATTATAGCTAATGATACATTAAGGTATAGTACAATAAGCATTTTAAAACGTTGATTTTGTGTAATATAATTCTATATAGTTATCCGTTATTATGAGAGTTACTTCCTGATCATGAAAAATAATGCTTGAAACTTATGGTCATTTTATATAAAATTTACTTTATTTCACAAGAACATGTGCAGCATGCATTTTTCTTTATGTAAAATAATGTCAAAAATCTAAAAAGATAGAGAAAATCCGGCATTGATTGTTTTAAAAGAAACAATAAAAATGTACCGTACTTCAAATAATAGCCGAGTCCCAAATAAACGATTGTCTCTTTACATGCCTGGTGTGGCTGCAGGTCTGGGTAAATATAAGGCCGGTCTCAAATAGAGGTCGGGTCTGTTTTTTAGTTTCAGGTTGTATTCAATCTTCTAAAACCCGTCAGATCGTCCGCTTTTTGGCGGCTGCCAAAGCAAATTTTTGTCCCGCCAAAGCCTATTTTGATCGGTGAGTGATGTAGAATAGAATGACTGCTGCGCGTGACAGGGCGCTTAACGAGCAGAGAGCCCTGGCCGCGCGCGCACACTCTGACGTCTTCGAACAACACGAGCGCTGTCTTGCTCTTTATTTGTCACATACCAGTTATAGTTCATACAACGAGCAGTGACTCACTGTGTAATAAAAACATACCCTAAATATTATTTAAAAGGTGCAACAATTTTAAATATTTTTAAATAGGCCTACTTGCAAAAATGTGTCATTGTAAATAATTCCGCCCCTCCCTCACTTCCGGTTCTGGCGCTGGGGTTCTGGCACTGGGGTTCTGAAACTGGTGGTGCTGCGGGTCTGCAGCTGGATATATCTCGTCTATGGAGCTAAACGGCTAAATGTATCTCTTTCTCCTGCTTGTCGTTGAATCAACATAGATTTGATTGTTGATTCCGCAAGTTCAATATAGATTATATGCCAAAAGTCGAATGAACGAGTACTTATGTCTTTTCGATTTCTTACAGCTTAGGCCGTTGTTGGCCGGAACACGCTAGCATTCTGCTATTATGTGACGTCATCACATTTTTGAACGGATTTTTAGAACAGATAAGTGAACTTAAAAATGCAATTTTCAGCTGCCGTGTTATATCTTAGCCCTCCCTTTTGAATGCAACTTTCAAATTACTTGACAAAAAATTACATCCTGAGAAAAGTGGATGTCTGGGGGTGAAACCCCATAGACTCCCATTCATTCTGCACTCGCCTGCGAGCGCCCCCGCATGGACAGAGACGTGTTACTGCAGCCAATCCAGAAACCGGAAGTAACCAGACAGTGCCAATTCTCTTCAATTAGACATTCTCTGGCTGTAAAGAATTCGTCATGCTGCTTTCCTGCTTAATATTGCAAACTAGTATTTCTTACCATATCATTTTAATGTATTGGCTTAATTATAAGCACACTGGTTTGTAGCGCAAACAGTTTTACAGTTTAGCTATCACTTTGATGTTATTATCGTTATTTCCCTATCGGCTATGAATCGAAAGTCTAGCACATTCACAGAAAACAGCTTAACTTACTTCCGCGTTGGAATAAGGCGGATAAAACGCGTGAAAAAACTCACCCAGCAAACAAAGCCCAGCTAAATGAAGACTGATGATTCCATTGCTGATGATTTCATGAACAGTATAATTGGATTAAATGGACTGTGACACCTTGTGAAATGGTCTGTAACATTTTCTTTCTCCTGCCTCTTTTCCTTAATCTGTTTTGTTCTTAAACTCTTTTAGTCTTTAACTCTTTTTGTTAGATCTATTTGTGTTAGAAGTTTATTGCAAGTTATCTTACAAAGTTATCCTGAATTTCACTAGAGGGCAGCAGTGCTTTGGAGAAGAAAAACATATTCACAATCTGATGAAAAATATCCTCAATTCCTAACTTATTTGGTTTAACATTTGACTTAGTTCATAATATTCTGTTCTATCTAGTGATTAGTGTTTGTGACCTGTAGCTGAAATGTGTCTCAGAATTTGAATGTGGCTTAAAAAGTTTAAATGTGGCACGTACAAATAGGTTTGTAAAAAAAAAAAGTGCAGTCATAGAGCTTAAAATATGCGCTTAGAAATAAATCAATGTCAAACATAGCATGTATTAACTGCCATGCTGCTTAAAAGGGAATTAAATTAATGGATTGCAGTCTTCATATTTTGTCACATATTAACATGCACTATTTAAATTGCACCACTATGTGGCACTATTTCCTGACTTTTTTTAACATCAGTGGTTCTCAGCTGGTTGCCCAGAATTTACAAGATGACAATGCCATGAAATATGCTTAACTATTAAGTTGATATACATAGGCTGAAAAGGCTATATATATATATATATATAGGCTGAAAAGCCTATATAGGCTTTTTATATATGCATTAACTTGCAAATAATACAAATTGTATGCACAATAATGCATATAATGCACAATAATGCATATATATATAAATTTTATATATTATTATTTTCGTTTTATTTTATTATTTTCGTTTTTGCCATTGTGCTATCAGAGCCATTTCTGGGTCACAACCCACCACTGCTTCTCATACAAATTCCTACTTTTTTTTTTAAATTAATTTGCATTTTTGCAGGAATTAAGTAAAAAGAGAGACAGGTTTTTTTCAAGCAGTATTTCTTTTTAATAGCTTTTAATAAACACACAAACACAAGCTTTGATAAGAGATGCGAGTCAGAGGCACAGAGTTGGGTTCTTGTGAATGAACAGTCTTCATCAGAGCTCACACTCCTTCAGACAACTTACAGTACAGGTGTTTTCAGAAATTAAATGAAATACAAAAAAATATTACACTCTTTAGCCAGATCAAATTAATTCAACACTATTCAGTTTTTTTTCTTCAGGTTTTAGTCTTACAATGTCAAGTAACAATTGCAGTCTAAAATGTGTTAATGTTGGGAAATGAGCACATGCAACATTTTTCTAGTGCTGGTCCCATGTCAGAACAGACCACATATTGATTATATATGGATATTTTTAAGGGGATTATCAATCACTGTATACAGAAATCCCTTTACACACAAGTTTTATTGCTGCTAAAATAAATTATTCTAGGCTACTGCAGCATAAAGGTTGTTTGTTCAGTCACAGAAAAAAAAAATCAAAATGGGATTTAGTTAGACATTCATCAGATAAACAATATTCACTACAACCATGAAAACAGGCAACATGTTCCGTTCATCATAACAAAACATTTATTGTTTTCGTTGTTGCAGGAGAAGTAATCTAATACATGGTCCTCAGAATAGGCCCCTTAATTGTAAGTAATGAGTTGTTAAATACAATCACATGCTATTACAGTACGTTGAGAATTACTGTGAGTAGAAACAAAGCATCTCAAGATGGTAGACAATGCAGCTTGTTATATTTCAAGTATTGAAAAATGTTTCCAATGCATGCAGGTGTTACGATGTGTCCACCATCATGTTATCAGTGGTCAGCCCATAACACATTTTTACCTAACAAAACTGCCACTTCGATGCTTTTAAATGTTTTTCCGGATACATTGCGTAATATACAAGAGGACTGTGAGCTGTCATTCTGATGCTTGGATTATTTAATGTTCCTTCATTTCATTTGATATTTTTATGCTCATCTGATTTGAATATGAAAGGCGTTTACCTCAACTGTTTAATCATGTATGCGACGATTGTAATAACAGATAACGTGATCAAACCCATCAAACGTTATACATCTGAATAGTATTTGGATTTGAATGTAACAAATAAGCAACATTTATTAAACTGTTTAAATGAATTACTGCCTTTCTCAAATCCTGCTGCTAATACTGCTCTTAAAAGTAACTAAATCCAACTAAAATCAATAGTTCCTAGTCTCTGTTTTTACTACACTTCCTCCATCACAATCTCCCAAAACTAAACTAATAACCCAGTGTTACTCAGAACACATTTTCTTTGTTTTATTATAAAATGAACCTTTTTGGTGAGTACTGTATATACAGCATTGTGTTATAGGCACAAGCACAATATATTCAATGGCATTTTGATTTTGACTTTCATTCATGTTATGTCCTTCTAAATAAAGGCTAAATGGCTATTAGTTAAAGGAATGGTAAATACATAGCACCATTTTTTTGTTGGAAAACAAAGAAAAACTATTTTTTTAAAAAAAGCTTTCAAAACTGCCGATCTAACCATGGTATTTTAGTTACTTCATCTATGAATTCTCAATGCATCTTCATTGAAAACACTGTCCCTATAATTTAATACATGCACTTTGGTTAAAATACATCAAAAACCTTTTTATAAGTATTTTTTGGCCGTATAAGGAAAGAAACAAAAAATGACACAAACACACATTATGGCTAATGATGCACGTTTCTGTGACAAACACGCTCTAGGCACTTATTAGCTAAAAGAGGTACTTTGTCAACAGAGCAAACATAATACTATGTACATATATGTAAAAAGTGTTATAAATAGGTTTTAAACCATATATACTATATACATCTTCAAATGATGACAGTATTGAATATGTCTTTTCGGGGTGGCAGTGGGGTTGATTTTGACTGACCCCCCGGGTGAAGATACTGTGTGATTTCACTTCTCTGTGGATGCAGTGTGATACTTTGGCTTCAAAGCTGTATTTCCAGGTAGCGGCCATGAGAGGGCAGTGCCACCTCACTCTCGCTTTCTCAAGATGACGTAGATTAACCCGCTTATGAATGCCAGAGGGAAGGCTACCCAGGCCAAGATGTAGGAAAAGCCATAGGACACTGGCCCAGTGATCCACGTGGTGTTCATTACCGTATAAATGATAGCTCCACTCATAACGAAAAGACCTGGGGAGGGAGGAAGACAAGAAAAATGAACTGTCTGGAAATTCAACAAAATGACTGTTGTTACCCTATAAAAATCCTATATTTGGGAACTCCAAGGTTGTTTAACATGATTTTTTTTTGTGGTCATTTCAGAATTTTCAGACTTCCGTTCATGCCATTTTTTTATGACTTCACTACAAAGTGTAGAAAATAGCAATAATAAAGAATATTTGCAAAGTTTTGGCTTTGTAACTTTTTTTTATGTTTTTGAAAGACATTCGTTTGATCAAAAATATTGTGAAATATTATTACAAAATAAAATAACTATTTTTTATACATTTTAAAAAGCAATTTATTCCTGTGATTTAAAAGTGAATTTTCAGCATCATTACTGTAGTCTTCAGTGTCACGTGATCCTTCAGAAATCATTATAATATGCTGATTTGCAGCTCAAGAAACATTTCCTGATTATTATCAATGTTGAAAACAGTGGTGCTGCTTATTGTTTTTACTGTCACATTTGATCAATTTAATGCATCTTTCGAAAATGTAAGTATTTCTTTAAAAAAAAACATGCTAACTCCAAACCTTTCAAATTTTTAAAGCTTTTTTCATTTATTTATTTTTTTTACATTAGAAAAATGATGTTTTTAAGCCTTTTATGAATATCCAATAATGTGTATTGTAATCATGGTCACCACTGAGGTCCCTCAGTACCTCTGTATGTTTTCCAAGGTGTATAATAAAAGTAGTGAAATAATTGCCTAATAATATCTGTATTTTGGTGCTGCAAAGATTATGTACAACGCCAAGATAAGCAACTTTCTCATCTGAGCTGATCAATGTGAAAATGACTGAGATGGCCAATCAAATCAACGAAGCTGGGAAATACCGTTACTTTTTAATTAACGGAAAACACGACTCTTCATTTTAACTGGTCAAAAAAAAAAAAAAAGAGTTGCAAGTAGCTTAACATTTAACATTTGACTTCTTTACTATAGAAATGTTAAACTACTGACATTAATAATATCCAAAGCCGTTTTTAAGCACATTATGCAATGATCATGTGCATATTGTGAATGCATTTTTTGGACCTCTGTATTTCGGCCTCTGTGTACGGCAGTGGTTGTAATTGAGAATGACGTCTTTGTATACTAACAATTAACAACAAAAGAAACTCCCAAAATATTTACTAAGTAACAGTCCTCCAACTAATGTTGGCCTAGTCTTGACTATGAAGTCTGCAGGAGAGGGAGAACACATGACAAGGCACTTTCAGCACGTTCTTTTATGTCGGGCACAGACCACCTTCAGAGTGCCAGTCTTGACATTTCATCTTGTGGCAGAGGCTGTGTGTCCTGTGCCAACTCAGTGGGCACCTGTAACTGTCTGGCTTTGTGCTGTTTACACCCTCGGCTCCCCTCTGACATTTAGCTTTCAATTAGTGTCCATCCTCTCTGATGAGAGTCGCAGATATGAACTTTAAAAGCCCTCGGTTTCAGTACGTACTGAAAGATCAAGCATTCATCTCGCGCCTACAGAGCTATTCAGTATCCAGGAACAGTAGAGATTTCTAATAATATTCCATCTTCATTACATCTCAAAGAGCCATTCCTAAGGAGAGCTATCATTTTACATTAGCTGCAGTAAATGACCGTAAAATGCATCTTCCCGTATCTTTTCTTTTATGCGTATTATTTACCATAAATGAAGAGAAACGCTTTGTTTTGGTGGCCTTGCCTATTTTTAACTCCACGTGCTGCATTATTTAATCTCAAGAAATCATAACTAAATTATCTGCAGGAAGTTTGCCTGTAACCGCGGCTGAGCGCATTAAAGGGTTTCCTGTGCCGTCTGTGGCTTAATGAGAGTTGACAGGACTCATTAGAGTAACGAGACTAAGGCCAAAGGTCTTTTCATCTAGCCGAATGAAAGCAGATACACCTCCATAGGAACAGAGGAGATCAATCGATGTCATATAGATGATCTTTTATTATTAATAAATGCTAATTGATCTCAGATCACCTGAGCCAACTAGCTCGAAAGCCTATACAAATATGAATTCTCCTTTGTTTCTACTGCGAGCACCTTGGGTCCATTAACACTGCATGAGTGTGTCAGCATGCTATGTCAACCTCATTAGCATCTGCAAACAACCAAGTCGATCCATTGCATTGTTCACATGACGTCTCGATACTCACTAGCAAAGATCTGGAATGCTCCGGTGAGGAAGAAGCGTCCACCCTTCTGAAGTGTAAAGAGCTGGCAGAAGAACAGGAAGAGAGACAGGAAGCTGAAGATGATTGACAGGATCATGAGGGCTTGGACTGCCTGGATCCAAACTGAAAAACAGAAAGCATTTCAAAACATTAGTGCGTTTACTTATTCCTGATTAATCCACTTAGGCCAGATTGAGCTTTGCAGAAATAAAAAACATTCGCTCTTGAGAAGGAGATGGTCATTTAAAATGAACACGAATGGGCATTAAGCGGGTCGTTATCTCTTTTCTCATCTGCTATTCTCGATCGATCACAGCAGAGTTGCACTTTTACATTGGCGTGCAACTGGAGATATGTATTATTGATAACGACAGAGGTGAGTCGGCAATAAAACAACACCAAATATCAGTTCATAATGAATTCTTCTTGTTGCCAATATGATACATTTAGGTTTTGATGGTTGTTTCAAGAGCATTGGCGAATCCAGGAACCCTTAATGCATTGTGCAAAAACATAATGAGGTTTCTGTTCCTAAAAGCTCTTAGCAGGTTACCAGGACCTAATATCGATCCTTTCTTGACGTCCCATGCTGGGCCAAAACACGGCAGCTCACAAGGAGCTCCATTAACTCTATATTACCTACATTTGATGGCTTTAAAAGCCTCCTGAATGTCATTTTTATCCTGCATTAGAGCCATTCCACCCTTTTATATGTGTGGACAGCAGAAGGTAAATGTTTGCATTAGTATTTGCAGAATAGCCGGAAACATTTCTTTCTTTCTTTAAAAATAAAACCTTACTGACCTCAAACTTTTAAAAGGACTGATTTGCAAGACAAAAGCTTTGGACATTAAGTTCTTAGCAAGCTTTGAGACCGGTTTGTGTGAGTTTGAGACTTTGATGAAGAATGCTGTGGCAGATGTTTTAGTTTAATGATTAGCGTGTATTTCTGGCTTTGGAATGTCCCATTATGTACAAACAATTGTTTCTGTTTTAGAATTGTTATCCTCAAATCGAGTTTTAAAGGGATAGTTCATCTAACATGCAAAATCTGTCAGTATTTACGCAGTATTTACGTCAGTTTAATTTCAAACCTGCATGACTTCTGCTGAACATGAAGATATTTTGAATTATTAAAATGCTCTTGACAATAAAAACATGGTTGTTTTTATAAAAAAATCACTAAAAGGGTGTTTGAGGAACCAAAAATGGTTCTTCTATGGCATTACTCTGATAATGTAGGAGATGCGTAGTTGATCTTTTTCTATCTCAGTCTCTACCTCTTCTGAGCCCAAGCAGTAATAAGTGGAATGCATGGGTTGTCCAACATGTCTATTTCTTATCCAAGGGTCATTCCTGTAGCATCATGTTTCTCTCTCTCTCTCTCTCTCTCTCTCTCTCTCTCTCTCCTCTCTCTCTCTCTCTCTCTCTCTCTCTCTCTCTCTCTCTCTCTCTCTCTCTCTCTCTCTCTCTCTCTCCTCTCTCTCTCTCTCTCTCTCTCTCTCTCTCTCTCTCTCTCTCTCTCTCTCTCTCTCTCTCTCTCTCTCTCTCTCTCTCTCTCTCTCATGTTCAGCTGTGTCTACCGCTCCCCTTATAGCCACTAGAACTGTCAAGCCCCTAAAGCAGATCAGCCTACTACACATTAAAACAAAATCAGAGCCAATAATACTATAGCCTCGAGAACAACAGATCCTCTACTAGAGCCTAATGCAGACTGCAGGAAAATAATACTAATTTTAAGACCCTAATCTGATCTGATTTTGCTCATATGTGACTCAGATCTGTTTTTGTCATGACAGTGTGAATGGCACAAACCACATGGAATCTGATCTTTTCAATTCTTTTTTGGGCCACTTCCATATGAGGTCCTAAATCCGATACAGGTCAGATGTTTTGCAATGCGACCTCAGTCTGAACAGTCGTATCGGAACACATAGCAACATTCGTCACAACTGGGGAGTCACTTCAAAGATTTGACTTATCCGAAGTTATCAAGAAAGGTAGTCAGTGAAGGACAGTGATGTGTCAGAGCTCATAAGTATTGCAGTGACAGCACATACAAGCAAAGCACGAAGGATCATAAATGTTAAAAAATCTGCTCTCTTTTTTCACATCCTCGTCTTTGTTTTTTATATTACCTACGTATAAATTCGCTGGCTTTGGCGGCAGATCACACTATAAATAATCGCGTAACCGCTTACTTTAATGTCCTCCGTGTTTACATCCATATGACAGCGTGCTGTGTGACGTCTTTTTATCGTTCTTTTGCGCATGCGGGACAGTTCAGGACCATGATCTGTTCACACTGGAATCTGTTATTGGCCACAGTTAAAACAACAATGTGAACAGCTATACAAAAAAACGAATCTGAGCAATAAATCGGAATTGAGCACTAGAGTAAACCCTATGGTGTAAACGTATACCGAGTCCCTCAGACACACAATTTACAATATCACATTGATTACATCCAGGAAAAGAATATAGAATAATTTGATCAAGTCCTGGAAAATCTGGACTACTCAAAATCATAAACAAGATCATCATCTTTTCACTTTTGTTGGGAAGACTTGGCCATATGAATGCTTCAAAATGATCTCATTAACTGCTCAATCGTAAAACGTTTTTTAACTTGTAAATATCTCAGAATGGAAACAATTGTGGAAATGGCATTTGTTTTTAGAACATCAGAGGCCATACGAGGAGACTATTCTAGTTTGCATCCATAAATAATACAAGGTTCTGCACCCACACAATACAAATGATACAATAAATCTCTCAATTATCTCTCAACATAGAAACACATCCCCTCATACAGTCCATTTACTCACTGTTACTAAGTTTATCCTCAGTTTATCTATCCTCACATGAAGTAAACATTTGCAGTTTCCTGAAAAAAGGTGCGGCTGTACTCATTTTGTGCTTGACAACACCCTATGTATTTCTGTCAGCAGTCATGCAGGGATGTGTATTTCAGGACAGAAGGTATCGTTTTTGGAAAGCGGAGGCCTTGTGTTTGCATTTAGAGGGGTACGTATGGTCCTGGGTGTGAAGAATGTGGCTTAACAGATGATAAATATGCACCGGGGAAACATAACACAGGGGTGCGAGTATGTGCGCTAATACTAGACTGCCTTAACCCCGGTTTGGTCCATGAAACAGTTCTCTATATCAGGATGATGAATAGGATTTCACGCATGCTTTAGCTGCCAGTGTTGAGTAGCTTCGCCATGCCAGCTGTTCCGCATCACTCCCGGTGTAAAATACATCCATTCAGGTAATATTAGGATGGTTTCGCGCTTGGTTTGATGGCTTGTTTTGTCCTCAGGTTCAATTTAACCCCATTGATTTGTCCCTGACCCTGCAGGGATTGTTTTGCATTACAGTTTTAGTACTGAAGCACTGTATGTTCCTATGTAATATTAAGAAGAACATTTTCCATTTTGATTCACCACCAACATCTTATACAGTACATAAAGAGGGGCAATTGTTTTTGTCTTAATTACTAGAGATGTGAAGAATTTGAGCAAAGAAAAGTAGGTTTGGGTTAATGTATTAGAAATCAACAGGTTTTTTGTTTATGTTAGCTCATTTTTTCCCCCTAATGCAATATACAACTTTTAATATTAAAAATGTTTTTACCATATTTATATTTTAACATTTTTAGATTAATAAATCCTGTATAAATATTTTCCATGCTAACTATTCTGTTACCTAATGTTGGCATGTACCTTATTAAATGTGTTAAAACATTTATGAATATAAATATTACAGTGACTGACATACACAACTGTTCAAAAGGTCAGTAAGATTAAAAAAAATGTTTTTAAAATAAGTCTCTTAAGCTCAGCAATACTGCATTTATTTGATCAAAAATACAGCAAAAACAGTAATACTGTGAAATATTAATATAATTTAAAATATCTGTATTCTATTTTAATATATTTTAGCATTTGTTGCATTTCCTGTGATGACGTAGCTGAATTTTCAGCATCGTTCAGTGTCACATGATCCTTCAGAAATCATTCTAATATGCTGATTTGCTGCTCAAGAAATTTTTTTTATTATTATCAATGTTGAAAACAGTTAGCTGCTTAACATTTTTTGTTGAAACTGTGATACATGTTTTCAGAATTCTTTGATAAATGGAAAGTTCAAAAGAACAGCATTTATTTGAAATAGAAACATCCTTTTGTAACAATGTTAAAGTCTTTGTCACTCTTGATCAATTCAAAGCATACAGTACATAAATGTTCACATTTTAAATGCTGTTGTTTGTGTGCAAGTTAAATGTCATCTAATTAAAAGACATTGCTAGTCATGCACCAATAAAACCCCTAAGACCCTATTTACAGCCTAGAGATAAGAAGTAACTACAAAGTGCAAACTTTGAAATAAAAACTGAATTTTTTCCAGCACCGTAGCAACGGCACGTGAGCGAGCGCATGCAGGAGAGCAGGACAGAAAAGCCCTTCAGTATGTGCCCACCCCGCACCACACCCTAAACAAACACAGCACATTATAGGTGCTACGCCAACTGACTGAGAGCTATGAAATAACACAGCAAAGCATTCTGGTCCCGCCTCATTTCCAAAGTGCACAGAGAGGCGTTTCTCGCTCGAAAACTATGACATCATCTCACCCTCCGAGAACAGCCAACAGTGTAACAGTGAATTGATTGGGAATTTACAGTACTTTTTTATGATTTATATACGTTTTATGGCAAGATTAACTCAAAAATGGCAACTTTAGTTTGTATTTTTAACTGAAAACTTGGTTTATACTCTCTCTCTTTCAAATTGCCTTCATTCCTTTATTGTTAAACACCCCGTCACTTGCATTTTGATTCGTGGGCGTGAGTGACTCAAATCACACTATGTTCGGCCTACGGCTCTCTGATGCTACGCCATCACACGGATCAGTCTAAATCTAAGCTGCTTCAAATGCTCTACCTCTGCCCCACCCCAAAATCTCTCAAACCTTGCAACCCAGCACTCTCCACTCCCAAACAAGGGGCCCGAGCTCAGCACTGGCAACCAGACTATTTATACAGTCTGCCTGAGCTGATGTTTAAGAGGGGTCTGTTGTGGGTTGAAACTGCATGCTTGCATTCTCACCCCTAGATGGCAGTACCGAGGTTTGAGGCAGAGTGGGCACACCCACCATAAAGAGTGATAAACAGGCAAAGGGGCTTTGACAGTAATGCCAGGATCAAGCCCTCTGTGAATAACCTGCTATGTGTAACATACCAACAGTGTCTCTTTAACCCTTGACAGAGTATTAATATTATTGCACCTTAAATGTTTGGTTTCATCATACATTCATTCTTAAATATTAAAATTTAGCAGGATCCTACCTCCAGTGTCAGCAGGGTCACATTTGTACACATTATTGATTGTTGTGCAGTTTGTCCAGAGGTCTGAACTGCTTTCGGGGTTAACAACCCATGCCTGTTAGAGGATGCAAGAATACGCATTAGCAGGGATTAAACATCCACAATATTCTCTTACAGCTGCTTTTATTCTGTGATTGGCAGACTTCGACTTTAATAATTAGGCTACATCAAATGAGTTGCATAATTAATAGCTATCACATAATTTGTCATTTTAATATCAGATAGATAGATAGATAGATAAATAGATAGATCTTTATTAATCAAATAAAAGAAACTGCAGAATAGATACTTACACTAACTATAGTGGACACGAAGAGCAGAACCAGTGCTGCCACATGCAAGATGACGATTCCCAGTAAGAGGAGCAGCATGATGTTTCCTTATGGTTCTGTACAAACACCGGAACATTTTATTGATAAAGTGCATCAATGACCAGTTAAAAGTTATAATATTATAGTCCTCCAAAATTATTTTTGTTAGTGAATTTAGGTTGGTATTATAAATAAATAAATATGTAAAAAATGTATTAATAAAATATTAATAAGTTATATTATTGTATGTGTCATTGGAGTTTGAGTTGATAATATAATATAATATTCAGAACTTTTTTATCAAAACCAGTTGGTTTTAACCAGTGCATCAAAAGCTGATTGTTACATGACCACGTCTTGTAATAAAAATACAAGGTTAATGTAACCTTGTATTTTTATTGTCTAATTTATTCAAACTTTCGGTAACACTTTATTTTAAGGTGACGTAGTTACCAGTACTACATGTTCTTACTATAGAAATAGTAAATTATGCATAATTACAAGTGACTAACCCTAAACCAAACCCTAACCGCAACTCTATTGTAAATGCATGTAGTTAATTAATATCACGCATGTAAGAATGTAACTAGCCTACGTCAACTTAAGGTGACGTAGTCACACGTTACTACATGTTCTTATTATAGAAAAGTAAATTATGCATAATTACAAGTAACTAAACCAAACACTAACCGCAACTCTATAGTAAATACATGTAGTTAATTCATATTACTACATGGATGTAACGTATGTAACTACGTCAACTTAAAATAAAGTAACCAAACTTTATACAGGCTATTTATGAACTAGAATGTAGCTGATCGACCGACAATAGTAGTTACTCAGAACGCTCAATTCTGAGCTTGAAAATTGAAGTTTACCATCAATTTTGCCACAAAAGAGTGTTACAACGAATTTGACAAGAGCAAAACGGATTGTTTTAGTGGCTGTAAATAATAAAGCAACCACAGTGTCCCTCTACAAAGTTAGATATCAGCTTATGGATGAGCCAGAGCGCCAAAGTGACTTAATCTATCTCGAAGGCAAGAATTAGGCAACTGTCTTCTTCTGATCCGCTCCGGTCTTTTACACTCATAAACAGTCATCGTACTTTTGCACTGCAATATAAATCCAACTTACTGCGAGCAAAGATACAATAAGTCCACAAAAATGGATGAAAACGCCGAAATGCAGTCGCGCCACTCGTTTCAAAAGTACTGCGTATTTCCAAAGTCCAGATCCCCGCGACTAGATTAATATCCTTTATGGAACAGCAGCTTTAAAGAGTCTCATTATGGAAGTACTACGCCCTTTTCTGCGTTGCTACGTCAGGGCGCGCCCCTGTAACAGCTCCACGGCACAGCACACACTGTACGTTAGAGCGCAGGAAAACCACCAGGCTCTTAGTCATACACACTCACGAGAGCTGTGTTTGGTTCTCATGGCTACCAACGTGGATGAAGAAAATAGCCTATACAGTGCGCTATAGTTATATATAGCCTATGAATATGACTATCACTTTAAACTGGAATAATCTCTTTATCCTTTTTTTGTAGTCATGGTTAAACCCATGGGTTAACAAACTTTTATAACATAATCACTGCAGTTTGACTTTGAACTATTGTTTATAAGGCAATCGAGCTGGTGGTAGTAAAGAGATAAACGTATCCACTCTCTGTACTGTATGTTTTCAGAAGTGGCTATTCACATAAACTAACAAAAACAGTTTCAAGGCTTTTTTTCTTGGCTCATTGGGAAGTTGCAGAATATTCTTTTTCTCCGGTTGTTGCTATAGGAATGAGCGATACAAACTTGTTAAATGGTCACTCTCAGTTCTCCCTGTGTGAAAATGAGTATATGCCCATTAGCTGGCCTCCAGGAATGTGCAGAATTCCTCTACAAGAGATTCCCCTCCCTCCCCCTCTCTCATCAGTCATCAAATAGGAAGTCAATAAAAAGAGGGAGGGCAGAGAGATGCAGAAAGAGTGTTGAGTGCTATTCCTGATATGAGATAGTTCAGATAATCTGGGAATCCATGGACAACTGAGAATTATTTAAACCCTTTTTGTGTGGTATAGGTGGTTTTCTTTCACTGCTTTGTCGGGTTTAAACGACTACATGATTTGTGGCTCATACTTCAGTCTTATCAGAGGTCAATTGTGTTGTCTGATGCTCTTTATGGTGTTCGTAAGGCATCATACAGTACCTCTTCTGGTTTACATATATTTACCTAGAGTTTACATGCTATTTTAATAGTTGACATGATGTGGAAAACATTTTGTGTACCCGAGGAGTTTATCTACCCATACAGATACATAGCAAATACAGATGACAGATGTAATGTTGATTGTTCGGTAAGTTCAGGCCATGGAATATGAGGATGGTAACTGAACTGATCAAAATGCTGCATTGTTGCATCTGTGAGAGTCCACACTTTTTTTTCTTTTTTTTTTTGCTAGCAGCGTGACAGTGGCTTGTTGTTTTTGCTTATCACCCATTGACTCGAGCAAGTAGCAATAATCCCTGTGGTACTATGGAATGTTCTGGCGTTCCAGTTACACAAACTAGAGATAACATGGGGAATGCAAGCTTGACATGAGTGTAAACGGGGCCTTGTGTCTTTCATTATATCTGACTTTCCTTTGCTCAATCAAAGAGGACCGCTGGGATTTTAACTGTAATGTTCAAAACTTTGCATTTGTATTTATAAAAATGTGCACTTTTTGTAAATAAATAAATTCCTTTTTTGAAATTTAGTTTAATTCAGCTGCAATATTGCATTATAATTTCCCCAGATGGCTGTTATTCCTCATGTCAGTTTTCAACTTCACTTTTACCATCAGTCATCAGTTAGTGTTTTGGTTAAGTTTAAGTCATTTATTTTATTTTATTTAGTGTGCATAAAACTAAATGCATAAAAATGGTTACATATTATTGAATTAGTAATCATAAGACAAATTAGGACATTTTGGTCAAATGCCATTAACCTTAGTAGACAACCCATATATTTAATTTAATGGCTTCCATTCTGTTTGTTTGCCAGACCAATATCTCCAATATTAGAACAGACGTACTTTGGAGATGCATTTCCATTATGTGAAAAATGCTGCATCCATTATGTTGGCATTCGCCCATAACAGACATTTTCCCAATCCAAAATTCCATTCACTAAAAAACTATGATTTTCACAAATATACGCTGTAAGTACATCATGTGACACAATGCTTATAGAAGAGCATTAAGGTGTACAGGGATAGTAACCGTTACTGGATCTTTGAGTATTTTTCCAGGTACCACGGCATGCAGTCCCATATATGCCAATGTTTGTAGAAGTCTTGAGTAGAGAGTGGAAGTATATCCATGGCAGTAGTGTTAGTGTTGAATTCACACACACACACACACACACACACACACACACACACACATACCTACTTAACCACAATGTGAGGACGTATGACTGGGAACCCTACCTTTAGGGACACCCCTTTCTGAAGGGTCTAGAGACAAAAGAAAGACATGACTGCACTTCTGGAGAAGCTGTCATCACACTTATCACTTGATTTTATTAATAAAAGTCTTCCTTAAAGACCTGACATTTTGCCTTCACTTTAGGGACAGTATTTTTTATGTCCATTTTGGGGACATTAAACACAAACTCTGATCAAGTCATACTTTGAGGACCATGGTGATACACAGACTCTGGTTAAGTCATACTTTGAGGACCATGGTGATACACAGATTCTGGTAAAGGTATAATATCAGGACTTTGTTGAGATGGTATATATTTAGTGAGTAAACAGTTTTTTATTTTTATTTTTATTTCGTCAAGATCACAGAAAATGGGTAGCCAACATTTTTGTCTGATTTGTAGCTTGAGATGAAGTGTCCTTCACTGCTCAGTTGGGGAATGACAATTAACATTCAGAAATATTATTCATTTGACTGTATTTGATTGATTGACTATCAGAGAGAACCAAAGATGGAACTGAAGACAATAGTGTCATTATTCAGCTCAATTCTATTTCAACTGTAAAACAGCTCTACAGAAGTCATTTAATAATTGCTGAAATTTTACAAGTTATGTGCCTGAAGTAGAGGTCAGCACAGGCTTTAAACTTAAGCCCAAACCCGGCCCGTACCCGAAATCATTTAACCTGACCCGAACATTACGGTTATATTTTAAGCCTGAGCCCGACCCAAACCCGAGGTCCGTTTCTCAGTAAATTGCTTTTTTTTTGTGCAATATGCTGTATTTTATGATTGCTTGCCACGATAATTAAAAAAATAAGCTACATGTACAAACACCGTTTCACCAAGGCACATCGGCCCCTCATCAGTCAGCACACAAGAAAAAAAAGAGAAAAAGCACAGAACTTACTAATTACGAAACTTTGATGAGGTTGAAAAGGTGAAACAGTCATAAATTCCCCTGGAACCCAAACATTAAACTTCATAAAGTTTGCGCAGTTGCACAACTATTTACACAAATATAGCCTATCCTTCTCAGTCCGAGTTATGAATGAAGGGAACAGCATCGCGAGCTGATGTTTCAGCGCATCCTCTGACTGCGTGTTGTGACTGAAATTGTGTGTGCGGGAGCACATGCACAAAAAAGTTTTGTAAAATGATATATGATAAAATAAAAATGATTCATATATCATTTTACAAAATTGTTTTGTTTGTTATTTCGATCACATCACAATCAGAGGAGGACGGCTGAAACTGCACACATCTACTTTCTCTCTCGCGTGATCGTATAATTACGATCACAACACAGCAAGCAGCCGAGCACACGGCACGCAAACTAATATATATATATATAGCCTAAATAGTTTTTCTAAGACCACGGCCTGCATCCCTCTAGTTAATTTAGCATCGACTGCAAAATAATCATTATCACAAAAACATCTTGAGTCTTTGGCTACTCACTGGTAGCCTGGTTCTACCAGACTCTCGTACATTTCATTTGTACAGAGAGTCTGGCCTCGCTCCATTGAGAAACGTTTACTTCCTTGTAGGCGGGTTCTCTGTTAAAGTTCAAAACTATTGGATCTGCCCAGCGTCACTCAGGATCTGCCATAGCCAATCGCTAACGTGTGGTCGTGACGTATGTCATGCGCCGTAACCGGCTGGAAACAACAAGTCCGAATTCCATATTCATAAATCTAAATATCTAAATGCTAAACCTCTCTTTCTTATATTTGTGAAAGAATTTTAAAAATACCTCTTTTCAATTAAGTTGTCTGAGAACAAAAAAAGCCTTAAAAACATTAACTGTTTGTAATTATTTTCCTTTTTCAGTGTCATGTAATTCTCTTAACTTGTTCATGTTTATTTTATATTATCCTCCTACTGTTTTATTTTTGTTTTGTTTTTATTATTATTTTTTGTTTGTTTTTGTATTATGTTTTCTGTTATTACTTGTGTATTGTTTTAAGCAATAAAAAAACAAGTCCGAATGATCAGAGGATTATGTTTAGAATAAGATGTCTGTCAACGAGAGCTGCATGTTTTGTTCATCGAATTTAAGAGTTCAAGGAACAATTCTAAATTCTAAATGTTTATTTGACACTAAGGACAGTGATGTATTCAGTCAACTGTCGAAGCTGGGTGTAATCATTAACAATACGCCGCTGCGGTCGTTTCGGATCTGCCGCAAATGCTGTACAGTGATCATCGTGCACGCCGAGCTGCCCAGCACCAACTCCTAACCTTTCTGCCTCCCTCACTTGGTCCTCCATTAGTGCAACAAGAGGAGACGACAACAACTATCGGCTTTGCATCCTATCGTTCGCCTTAGCTAACTCATTCACCACTAGCGGAGTGAGCTGGAAAATTAAACTTTTCCCGAACCCCTTGGGGAGGAGGGCCACAACATCATGGCCACCAACAACACTTAGCAAACATTGATCTTGCTCCGGCTTTAACTTCTGGATATTCGGCAGTTTTGCAACAACGGACCGAATAGATTTTCTCACGTCTTTCTCCGCTGCCATTACTGAACTCCAACTCAAACTGACGCGCTACATCAACGTCATCGTTCTCAGCCACTCCCTCTGTTCGCTGATTGGACCGGTAAAAAAATTATTTCTGGAAACCAAAGTCTACAGCACAATCCCAGACGTAGTACTGAAGGAAAATAAAATTGAGCGGAAGTGCGTAGGAGGGCGGAGCCAGGCTAACTCACTGGGGCTTTAACACATTAGTCATGTTCTTCTGTAAAGTGTAGTAATTGTCCAAAAAACAAACAAAAAAAACACACACTTCAATTAAATGACTCTTTGGGGACTTGAT